GGGGGGGGAGGGCCTGTAGAAAAGTGTAAAGAATAGGGATAAGGTCGGTCTCTTACTCTTCGAGGCGTTCTGGGCTTTTTTAGCCTTTTGGTTAACAGACTTTGTTACGCCTTTGAGATGCCGATTGAGCTTGCGAAACTCCTTCTGCCTTGCCTTCACTTCGGCGTCGAGCTGCCTGAGTTCTTCATCCAACTTCTTGGACACGTCGTAGTCTTGTACCACCTCAGAGTCCGCGACATTCTGAGAGCGCTTCAGGTATCCGTCGACATTGATGTCGTCCGTCTTGGAGACCACGAAAGCAAAGCCCTTCTTGTTGAAGCGTCCGTCCATCTGCAACTGGAGCTCTTGGTAGTTTCCCAGAAGACTGATGGCCGTCTTCTCATCCGCGGCCCGAATGATGGGCGCCACGATCATGGTCACGGCCAGACTTTCGTAGAATTCCCGGGCCACGGCGGCGCGGCTCTCGTTCATGTCGCCCAGGCCGGGGAGATCGACCAAGCTGATGCCGCTCTTGAGAATATCGACGCGAAGGTACTGGCGGACATGTTTGACGAGAGGCCATGCGGCGAATGCCCGTTCTCCCTCTCCGCCGTGCCTGTGGGCCGTGGAGTCCAGGTAAGGCCTGACCATACGCGAAAGTTCATCGGCGTCGGAGCGGTGGAGGTGCAGCGTGGTCCCGAGGAGATTCAGCACTGCAGCATCGGAATCGAGGAGCTTCTCTGGAGTCATCTGCTTGAGATCCTCGGGGTCGAGATCCCAAATGGTGTTGATCTTGCCAATGAGACCGTCGATGGTCTTCTGAGCCTCTGCGGCATCCTGGGTTCTCAGATCTTCGTCTTCGTATTCCTGCTCATCAATGTCTCGACGATCTTCGACGGCCTGAAGGAACTCGCTGACTTGTTGGAGCATTTAGTCGTAGCTGTGGAAGTCGACCTCGGCGCGGTACTCGCGGCCAGGGGTCTCATCATGATTCCACAAAATCTGGCAAACGACAGCAGTCGCGGCTTGCTCACAGCTAGAGGGGAGGAACTCGGAAGCTCCGAGGAGAGCGTTGAGGAGGGAAGTCTTTCCGGCTCCCGTGGAGCCGGCTACCCCGACAAGGATTTGGAATTCGCGATGCTTCTGAATGGCAGTTTCTGTTACTGTGTTAGTCCAGGGAGCATCCCCGTGTACAGATCTAAGATTCTGCAGCTGCGATCTCTTTCGTGAGAAGGGTGTATATACCTTTGTCCTCGGCCCACTTCTGGAGCTCTTTGAGGCTTGAGTCCGTAACGTCGGGATTTTGCTCGACAGCTAGGCGAATCTTGGAAGCCAGATCATTGAGAAAACCAATGGCATTCTGGACAGCCTTTTCTTTCAGAGCAAGCCGTTGGAAGTCTTCTAAACCGTCACAGTTTTCCCATGTATGTGCAACGGGGGCGGCGGGAGGCGTCTTGCTTGACTTTGGTGTTTTCGATTCTCTCTTGACACGAACATTGCTTTTGGCGGGAACCTTTCTCTTGAGAGTCGGCTTTTTCTCGATGGAGGCCGAGATCGATGGGCCCATGACTGAACGATACCAAAAAGAACGATGTATTGGGGAGAGGGTGGAAAATAAGGAGATGGGTAGAGTTATAACCGAAGGACGGCCGGGTTGTTTGGAAGAGATCTTGATGATTGAAGAGGGAAGACGAGAAGTGTTGGATAATATTCAAGCATCCTAGACAAAAAAGATTCGTTAAGACAGTCGACGTAGATTGTAGAAGTCTGAAGAAGGGCAAAGAGGTCGAACGACAGAACAACGAAGCGTAATAGGTTTACTCGAAAGGTGTCAAGTGTAGAGAAATCGAACTGGGAAGAACGCCCGGACAGGGTAGAAGGAAGCAAAGTGAATAAGGCTAAGAAGAGAGAGGAATAAACTCCAAGAAACCCGACTTATACCAATACGAAGGCAGCGATTTGCGTAACAACCTGCATTCTAGTAATATGGTGTGAGAAGGAGTACAGATTGCCAGGTTAAAACAGAAGTTGATGATGGGGTCAAGGGTCAACTAGAAGTGAGTTTTGACTTACAGGGACTATTACTTCGTTCACAATTGCGATCATATGTGAGACGAACCAGTACAAGTGTCAGTGATGAGAAGGTAGTGGAACAAAGTTGAAGTTAAGTTTATTTAGTCAATGGCTCATACATAGGAACAACGTAGTTATCGGATGATTCGAAAGAACTCGAGCAAGTTGATAGAAGCAAATGTATGGAGAGATGCTGACCTACCTACTCAAGGTGATTCAAGAACAGACTTCTTTATACACAGAAGAATGAAGAACATAGACAGTCTGCGAGTACTTACCTAGTTCCCCCTTTCCGCGCCCCCACCCTTCTCGCGGATATTCTTGTGATTTCAATGTTGTCAACTCAGAGACTGTGATAAGTAGTGTCAAAGGGCAACTTTCGCGCCATCCTCTTCTTGAGATTGTCATATCCCCGAGCTTTGGGCGAAATGACTCCTTTCCGCATCAACAAGTCGATCACGACAAGAGCACAGTTGGGCTTAAACAGGCTACCTTTCAAAAAGGCCTCGACCTCGGCTACCGAAAACGGACCTGCGACAATCATGCGCGACTCACCAGCCCTGAACACTTCGCGGGGGTCACTTACCTCCTAGTCAAAGACGTACCGGATACCGGGTTCGTACATACCTCGCATGTGCGGCTTCGGGAGGGGCTGCACCTTCGAAGGGTTCACGAAGTGATACTGCAACGTAGAAGCAGGGGTTACCATGGTCTCCCGCCAGCGGGGGAGCTTGGCCTCCCAGTTCTCGATCTCCTCGGACGCCTCCCGACGGATGGTGGCACCTCCGTCCGCGTCCTTGGAGGGCTCCGTCCCCCCGACCACGAGTTGGTCGTAGGTGTTGGGATAGGAGGACATGCTGGGCCCGCGCCTCATCAGCCAGATCTTCATCCTGCCGCCCTGGCCGTGGAAGACGTTTAGGTGGGCCCCGCTGGTGACGAGTCCCAGCAGAGAGACGAGGTCAGAAGGCATAGAGAAGGGGATGGGCGCACCTAGCACGGGGGAGAGGTTGTCGGCGTCATGCTTGGGTTTTTTGTTGCCCCAGCGGGACTTGTCGGCCTCGGACAGCCTATCCAGGGCGGTCTTGAAGGTCTGCTCGAGTTCGGTTGCCGAACGCTCTGTTTTGGGAATCATGAGTTTCTTTTGGGGGTCGAATGCGAAGAGATCCCAGCAGTGGTCCTGGAACAAAATGGCCACGTCGTCTCGCATATGGCCGAAGATGACGAGCTGTCCAAGCTTGGTGAGGCAGAACTTCCAGCTTGCTGAGAGTTCGGACTCTGTGGCTTCCATCCTGTCGAGGAAGTCGAGGGCCCAGGAAATGATGGACATTTTGCTGTTTCGTTTGCTTGCGTGGTTCTCTGAGGGTGTTGATATTGTTGATAATGGTTCCTGCGGTTCTGGTGAATGCAGCAGCACATCCGGCCCATGAGACCGACAGTATTTATACGAGAATCCCTCATCTTGACAATGATCTTGTTTAGGTGAAAGGTGAAAGGTGAAAGGTGAAAGGTGAAAGGGAGAAGAAAGAGATCAAAACTGATTCCCTGGTTCAGCAAAGACTCCTTTTTCTCAGCGACAATGTCACGGAATAGCATACGAGAATGGGGCCTGGAGACAGAAACTACCAGACGCTTCTGTATCATGAAAGGATAGATAAGCCTTTGTTTCTCCCTGGTTTGTTTGTCAAAACTAGCAATAGGAAAAAGGGGAAGAAAAAGAAAAAAAGACTATAAACGACTCGGAAGAAAGATATAGGAAGCAAGCCTATGTTTATTCGATCGCATAATATATCGCGGGGAATAAGTTCCAGACGGAGCTTATATCAACTTGAAGTTCGATTAGCATTCAGGGGCGCACTCCTTCGAGAGAGCACGGCATCCAAGCACCAGCAACGGCAATTAATTTAGAGTGGCAGTGCCAAGTGACGTGATTGGACATTGGACCATGAAGGTGATATCCAGCGGTTCGAACTTCTGGGGCAGTGCAAAAGTTGGTGCTCCTAGTCCTCCGTAGTGCGCCGTTGGCACAAGCGGAACGAGGGCCAGGCATTCGTTAGGATCCCAGGGGCCAGTTATGAACGGCGATCTGTCCGGCTGATGAAGGAATCGTGCGACTCGGAGACCTAAGTTCTAACCCCAGACTCTTCACCTTTCCCATCAGCATCTCACCCCACCCAGCTTGATCGCAAACATCGTCACTGCACCTCCCGAGTCCCATCGGGCTGCAGGCTTGCCGCTTGCGACATCTTCCCCTATTCAACGCCACTACATCGGAACCAAAAACTGCACATGTGAATCATAAATGTCGTCGCACGATTACTACGGCGGCGGCGGCCATCCCAAATCTGGTCAAGGTGCCGGTTGGGGCCAACAAGGCCAGTATCCCTCCCAGGGACCTCCCTCCGGTTATGGAGGATACCCTCCGCAGGTAAGTAGTTTTCGCGATCGCGATGCGCTTCGATCGATGGGTTCATGCATGTGTTCATCTGCGCGACCACTAACGCGATTGCATTTTTGTCCCGTGCCCTCTCCAGCCGAACCAGCCGAACCAACAACAGACTCCGCCTTACCCGACGTCTTCCTACATGTCGCCCAGCCCAGGACCGCATCAGAGTTACGGCGCTCCCCCGTCGCCGCACCCCGCTCAGCAGCACCACCAGCAACAGCAGCAGCATTGCGGAAATTCCCATGCCTCACCCTACGGTGGGAATTCCAACTCACCCTACATGTACCCGCCGCAACAAGGCCAACACGCTGCTTCCCCCCAACCACCCCATGGTTATGCGCCAGGGTACCAGTCACCATCTCCCTACCCTCCCGGGCCGCCGCCCCAGCAATACGGGGGATACCCAGGCGGGCCGGGAGGCCCGGGACACCCGCCACAAAATCCGGGACAGCATGCCCCGGGACAGCATGCCCCGGGACAGCATGCCCCGGGCCCGCATGGCCAAGGCCAAGGCTACGGATATGGCCCGGGCGCACCGGGTCAGGATGATCGCGGGCTCGGCGCGACGCTGGCGGGCGGCGGCGTGGGTGGTTGGGCTGGACATAAGGTGGGAGGGGGCGCGCTGGGCGCTGTGGCGGGGGCGGCCGTGGGAGCGAATGGGGCGAATATGCTGGGGAACAAGTTTGAGTAAGTCCCAGCCTTTTCTTTGCCCCGATTTTTGTGGTGGAAACATTGAACGTTATCACTAACGATTTGAACAGTAAGCACGGCAAGAAAATGAAGAAGAAGAAGAGCAAGGAGGAAAAAATGCTCAAGAAGATGAAGAAGAAGAATAAGCATAAAGGTGGGTGGGGCGGTGGCTCGTCTTCGAGCTCTAGCAGTTCGTCGGACTCGGATTAAGGGGGAGGAATCAGGATAAGGACCTAGGTAGGAGCACGAGGGTGTCTGGTTTGGTCGGCTGGATTGGCTTGGATGCACATGTGGTCTTTTTGGTTCGTTTGCTCGCAACTGGTATAGATTGGAAATCTCGCGATGGAGGAAGAATGAGCAGCACATGCACGTTTTCTGTTAATAAGTCGACTCTCAAGTCGCGAAAGCCCCCTGGGAGATTTTAGGGCCCGCCAATAATCTGCTGCAATGGCCCGAGTCCCGACAGACACAGCTGGCGCCTGCAGCGTCTTCGTTCCGGGGGGTTGGAAGGGCCAAGTCTCGGCATGCAGGGAAGATTAGAAGATGGCACAGCCGCACAGCTTGGCTTGGCCAACTGTTCTGGAGGTCATGTTCTGCATGTGTCCTTAAAAGCCGAGGGCTGATCCAGAAAGGTGGGCCGCATTGGGTAGCAGGATCGGAGACCCGATGCGAATAGCTTGAGGAGTGCGAAAAGAAAGAGACCAGCAATAATCTCAATGTTCAAGACTTTGGACTCTAAATAATAAGATTTAATCTGTATTGCTGCTCCGTACCATTCTTCACCATGTGAATTTACGCCAATATTTTTTGTTACTCCGAGGGGCCGAGCGGGACCGGTGCTATTATTCGGCCCCACCCTGTCCGGAGTCTACTTTTGCCGCCCGATGTCACGGTTCCGGAATCCGATGCCCCTCCAAGGTCCCCTTCTCGATCGTCTAGTCTAACTCTAGCCCCTCGATTTCCTTCCTTTCCCCGACATTATTCACCATTTGACACCGGAATTCCAAAGCGGGATCTAAATAATTTTCCTTTCTTCAGATCGGCAGCACTTACGAACGGCGAACGCCGCCATGTTGTCCCGGATGTCGGTTTTGCCTCGATAAAACCCCCCGCCTTGGCCGAGTACCCTGCGAAGTTCGAGCAACCAGGAGGAAAAGGAAGCCATCCTTATCTTTGAGACTGAATGAAGTGGCCATATCATTCTCTCCGCTCCTTCTCGTCTTCTCTCTTTCTCTCCGACACTTCGACATGATGAGGGCATCTCAGTCCTCCCTCGCTCACCGCCTGCTCATCAGCCTTCGGGCGTCCAATGCCCTGCGACCAGCCGCATGCCAGCTTCCCCCGAGGATCTTCGCGAGGAGAGACGGTCCTACTACTACCCTCCGAACACTCACCACGAGCAAGACACGATGGTCAGCCCCGGCAGCGACAGAACACAGAGGTAAATCAAAGCTGTTCAAGTCGGCAGACGCCGCCGTAGCGGACATCAAGAGCCGCTCAACCATCCTAAGCTCAGGCTTCGGTCTTTGTGGTGTCGCTGGTACGTTTTGCCGCCCCCCCAATCTTTCTCACCTTGATCTAAGGGGTTAATGTTATTTTCTTTCCCTCTTCCCTGCAGAAACCCTTATCACAGCTCTTGCGCGTCGCGGCGACTCTCTCCATTCTCTCACCGCCGTGTCAAACAACGCAGGCAAAGAAGACGTCGGCGGTCTTGCCGTGCTCGTCAAGTCGGGCCAGTTGAAGCGCCTCGTGCTGTCGTTCCTGGGAAACAACAAGGTCCTCGAAAAGAAGTACCTCACCGGCGACATCGGTGTTGAGCTTTGTCCGCAGGGGACTCTGGCGGAGCGGATCCGGGCCGCCGGCGCTGGCATCCCTGCCTTTTTTACCCCGACTGGAGCGCGTATGTCCAATGGCCCTTGTTCTTAGTCGGAAAGTGCACAGGGAGGCGAACTTTACTCAAGGATGGGATGGTTGATGTTGACAACGGGTGTCCCAGACTCGCTTTTACAGACCGGCGATATCCCTGTCCGGCTCGACGCTTCCGGCAAAGTCCTCGAGCGCGGGACCCCTCGCGAGTCGAGGGAGTTTAATGGCAAGACATATCTCATGGAGAAGGCGCTTCCAGGTGATGTGGCCATCCTACGGGCCTGGAAGGTCGATGAGGCGGGGAACTGTGTGTTTCGGTGTGTGGCAGCCTCTCCCCTCCCGGGCCTCCCCCCCCCTTTTTTTTTTTTTTGATCTCACCCTGAACAACCAAGGACTGACTGGCAAATTCGAGCAAAGATACACCACAAAAGCCTTCGGCCCCATCATGGCCAAGGCTGCCCAACTGACCATCGTCGAAGCCGAGAACATTGTGCCAATAGGGTCCATCGACCCCAACGACGTCGACCTCCCCGGCATTTTCGTCGACCGCATCGTCCCCGCCACGGAACCGAAGAAAATAGACATTCTCAAACTCCGTTCCTCAGACCCTTCTTCGCCTTCCTCTTCGCCTTCTTCTTCCGCAACAACCTCATCGTCCTCACCCGTCACCGCCGCCAACGACGCCCAGACAAAACGAGACCGCATCGCGCGCCGAACCGCCCAGGAGTTAAAACAAGGCTACTACGTCAACCTGGGCGTAGGCCTCCCGACCCTCGCCCCGTCCTTCCTCCCCGCCGACCGGAAAGTGTGGCTGCAGTCCGAAAACGGCATCCTGGGGATGGGCGCCTACCCGGCCACCGAAGCCGAGGCGGACCCGGACATCGTCAACGCGGGGAAGGAGACGGTGACGCTGGTGCCCGGCGCAGCGACGTTCGACTCGGCCGAGTCGTTCGGCATGATCCGCGGCGGGCACGTCGACGTGTCGGTCCTCGGGGCGCTGCAGGTCAGTGCGGCGGGCGACCTGGCCAACTACATGATTCCCGGCAAGGTGATGAAGGGCATGGGCGGCGCCATGGACCTGGTGAGCAACCCGGACAAGACCAAGATCGTGGTGGCGACGGAACATGTGGCGAGGGATGGCAGCCCCAAGATTGTGGGGAGGTGTAGCCTGCCCTTGACGGGTGCGAGGGTTGTCAGCACGATTATTACCGATTTGTGCGTCTTCCAGGTCGACCGGAGGGCTGGCACGTTGACTTTGACGGAGATTGCGCCGGGTGTCGAGGAGAAGGACGTCAGGGCCAAGACGGATGCCGACTTTGTAGCGGCCAACGATTTGAAGACGATGGAATAGGGAGTTGTTGAAGATGATTTAGAATAGTAGAACATGGAGAGGTATGCATAGGCAGGCCTCACAACTTGGACGCCGGGACCCTTGCAAAGTTCCCACCCCCCAGAATCTCCGAAATAGAATCCACCGTCCTCAGCATCCACTCGCTCCCCTCATCGCCCGCCAACCATTCCGCCCCCTCAACGACCTCCTGGCCCGGCTCCTGGCACGAACCATCCTCCATCGCCTTCCGCAACCCAAACACGTGGCTCAACACCTGCGGCCCGACCCCAGTCTGCGCACGAAGACAAGCAACAGCTATCAAACTGGTCAGGATACGGCCCGTAGATGCCAACCCACCGCGATCCGCGGCATCCGGGTCGGAGAGCAAGGCGGCGTAGTGACTGTGGAGGATATGCACGGGCAGGTCCGGGTGCGAGGTGGCCAGCTTGGCGATCAGTTTCCCCTCGTAAGGGCGGTACACGCTGTCCCAGAGGGCGCGGCCGCGGCGGGTCACGTAGGGGAGGAGGTCCGGCGTGGGGGCGCGCGAGGGGGCGGTCTCGAGCTGCGAGGTGATTTCTTTGGGGAGCGAGGCGTGGAAGGCGTTGAGGCAGTTGATGGAGCGCGGGATGCCGTTGAAGGAGATGCATTTGAGGCCGACTTCGCGAATCAGTTCGGCGGTTTGGACGGGCGATAATGGGCGGGGTGAGGGGGAAGAGGAGGCGACGTCGTGGAGGATGGTGAGGGATTCGGGGGAGTTGAGGGTGAAGGTGGCAGCACTCTGCGATGATGTTAACAAAAAGAAAATAAAAAATAAAAAATAAAAAATAAAAAATAAAAAATAAAAAATAAAAAATAAAAAATAAAAAATAAAAAATAAAAAATAAAAAATAAAAAAAGCAGAAAAAAATACAAGGACAAAGGAAACGTACAGACAAAGCCACCCATGGCTTAAAGCCAACATTATGTTTCGCGGCATCGCGAGCGATGGTCTGGAACAGGTCACGAATGCGCGCGGGTGCAGGTGTGGGATCTGGTCGCGTAAACGGCGCATTGATGAGGGCCTTGAGGCTGGGAGACAGTTTCGACATGGTCGTGATTGTAGACGTCTTTGCGATACCGTCGGGGGAAATTATTTCGTCGTCGCTCTGTGTTGGTCTCTTTTTCCGCTTCTTGCCGCATTGCTTGTCATCGTCCATTGGCGATCCTGGGAGTTTTGTTGCGTCGTCCTTCGAAAGGTTCAAGATGCGCACGCGCCAACAAAAGCGATGAGACCGGTCATCGGATCGCGGAAGAGTTGCGCCCGAGAACATCCGAGGGCCGTCGGACATCAAAACTGTTCTCCGACGGAGCTGTCAAGCTCAGGTAGGTACCTAAGTACCTTCATATGATGCTATTGGGGCACATAAGTACATAAGTACATAAGTACCCACCACACCCCTGAACGATCTCCAAAAACCCCCTCTGCGGGGTTAAACTGTGGGTGGCTGACACTGAGGGGTCCTGAGACCTTGGGGTGCGGGGCAATGTGCAGCACCAGGGGCACTGTGGGGGACAGGACGAGCCCGGCGCTCAATTCTGGTTCCCGACCCGCGCAACCTCTTCTGGACTCCTCGACTATCGCTATGTCCTGAGCCCGATTTCTTAAAGATTCCTACCCAATATACCTATCGGCCGTTGCTTTACCATCCGAGAATTAGTCTGTGAAGCCATTGAGGGTGACCCTGACCAAAAAAGGCTCAGCTTTGCCTACGTGGCTCAGTGGCTCCTAGTACTAGCTCCAGTACCCAAGGAGTCGAGGACCCTTCCCGTTACACGTTTAACAGATTTGCATTCCGCCTCTGTCTCTTTCATGTTTCCATAGACTTATTGCATAATATCTCTCGTGGATGTGAAGGCGAAGCTCGTAATTGTATCTTTTACCCGCGTCCTCTCACGGCGACCCGACTGTCGATAGCATTTCTGTCCTCTGCGCCTTGTCTGCCTTTCTTCCTTCCTGTCTTCTGCATCTTTTTCCCATTTCCCAGTCACCCCGTTGGCCCTACGAAATCCAGGTGACCATGTCCTCCAAAACTAAGTCCAAGGAGCCCTTCTGGCTCGGGTACGTTGCCTCTGGGGTTTCCTTCATCTCTTCTGCTCGATTTGGCTTTTCTAGAGTCTTGGCACTCTCGATTTCCCCTAGTCTGGAATCGCTGACCATGGACTCGAGGCTTCGTTAGAGGCGCCGCTGCCTCCATATCGGTGTGCTTGAGTAAGAACTTACATCCACCCCCCCCCCCTTTTTTTTTTTCTCTCTTCTTTTTTTCCGAGGCTCTGCACTGTTGCTTTCAAGAGCGTCCGTCCTGACCGTACACCCCAGCGCACCCGATAGACCAAACGAAGTAGTACGTCCCCATCTCGGGAACGCGAACAACCCCCTCATTCCATGTCCACCTCGATAGCTCACAAACCACAACCACACGAACAAGTCGAATGCAAGTCCTCAAGTCCAGAGACTCCATGTTCAGGGCCATGTACCGCTTCGCAGCCCGAGACGGTCCGTCCCGCTACCCGCACCTCCCCCAGTATCAGTATCCCACTGTAATCCCCATCCCCCGTATTCCCCGAATACCCTGCTGATCGTCTCCCTGTGCCCTAGGAATCCATTCGTTATGGTCCGGCCTCTCTGCTTCCATCCTCCGACAATCGACATACTCCACCGCCCGCTTCGGTCTCTACAACATCGTCGCCCAGAAGGCGAGACAGCACACAGGCCAGGACAAGCTTTCCGCGGCATGGACCATTACCTGCGCCGGTGTCGCTGGCGGCTTCGCCGGTCTCGTGGGGAACCCAACCGAGGTCGTCCTCGTAAGGATGTGTGCCGACGGGGCGAAACCGGCAGCCGAGAGGTTCGCCTACCCAAATGCTCTCATCGGCCTGTACCGCGTCGGGAGGGACGAGGGGGTGTCTGCTTTTGCGAGGGGGTTGTCGGCCAACATTGTGCGGAGCCTTCTGATGAGTAAGTATCATTTCCCCTTCCGCCTTGCTGTTCCTCCTGTTGTCTTTTCTTTTCTTTCTTTTTTGTTTCTTTTTTTTCTTGAACCCATTGACGAGAACGAGGAATCTGACCTTGCGTAGATGTCGGCCAGATCGCCCCGTGAGTCTTCTTCGCCCTCCGATCCCCCCGACCCTTCGACAAGAGAAAGACCCAGAATGAGCTAACAAAGAAAAACGAACCGCAGATACTCGGCGGCAAAGCAGTACCTCATCTCCGGAGCAGGTCTAAAAGACGATGTGCGGACACACTTTCTCTCCTCCCTCGTCGCTGGGACGGTTGCCACCACCATATGCGCCCCGGCCGACGTGCTGAAGAGTAGGATCCAAAGCGCATCGGCAGCTCTCGGCAGTCGGAGCGTGAGTTCTGTCTGGTTTTTCCCCGACTGATGTGCCTTTTCAAAAGTGTCTGACATACGGCTCGGCCGGGAACACATCGCAGTCGATCATCCAAATCATCCGAACAAGCCTCAGGGAGGAAGGTCCCCGGTTCCTCATGAAGGGTTGGACGCCTGCCTGGCTCAGATTGACGTGAGACCACGACCACACCCTGTTCTGTTCTTTCCAAAATGTATGCTGACGAAGAAGTAAAACAGACCGCACACGGTTTTGACCTTTGTCTTTATGGAACAACTCCGTACACTGACCCAGTTGAGTTTGGTCGTGCCAAAGGAGACCATCAAAGTCTAGGAGCCTCTGCTTCTGTTCCCTCAACGACATTGCTCCCCATCTGGTCTGGCATTCGCGAGAAAGGGCTGCAAAATAGCTTGTTGATTTGGATGTACAAGAATCAAACATGAATCCTTTTTTTGTGTATCCCCGCCACGCATGGTCATGTTCGTGATCAGAAATTGAACCCAGGCATGTTGGGCCAGCTCAGGCCCTCGAAATTGTTCATGTCCTCCCACGACAGGCTCGCGCCTGCAGGGTCAAAAGCGTTGTGAGGCTGGTTGAGGATCTCGATAATCTGCTCGTCTGACATGGTCGAGAAAGATAATGTCTGCTGCGGCCAGATTGTTGGTTGGGGCTGGACTGGCTGGTCAACGTAATCGGCTCCGACATGATGGAGACTCGGTGTTACCCCCGCTGTGTAGCCGAAGGCGCCGTGATTGCTGTTATTATTCTCATTATTATTATTATTATTATTATTATTATTATTATTATTATTGTTGTTGTTGTTGTTGTTGTTCTTGTTCTTGTTGTTGGTATTGTTGTTATTACTGCCGTTTCTGGCGGTTCCCTCAATCGAATCGAGAGCCATGGACGCAGGGCGCGGCGCCGCCATGGGGTATCCTTCCGCTGCCGCCGTGGCCGCCGCTTTCTTCACAATAACCCGTAGGTATCTCCCGTAGAGCGAAGAGATCCCGTTCCTGTGGGGCGTAGTGTTGCCCACGCGCTCGAGCACGCCCGCCGCTTCTTCGATCAGCGTCCTGACGCTCGGGGCCAAATTGGAGCTCCCGCTGGCGTAGGCGCTGATGGTCAGCGCGAAGCAGGCCGCGAACGTGATCATGATGGCCGTGTTATTGGGCATGGACTGCAGCACGGGTTCTCCCTGCACGGCGACGCGCAGGACGGTGAGAGCCGACGACATGCCCGCCGTCCGGAAGAACTGCCTCACCTGGATCGGGGCCGTCGGGTGGTTGATGACGCCGCTGTAGATGGACAGCCTCGTGTGGGTGACGAGAATGTCGACATAAGGGGGCAGCTGCCTTTCCGGCCCGGAGCCGATGGACACGCCCCAGTCGGTGTGCCACTGGTCGAAGAACCTCTCGATGGTGCCTTGGATCGACTGCGTGATGAGCGTGCTGTCGGAAAAGTTGTTCTGCGACCCGTCGCACATGGCGCGGACCGTGGCGAAAACGCTATCCAGGTCCCGCCGCAGCACGGCTATAGACACGAGGTGGCCGTCCTGCGAGTCGGCTACGTCGGACCGGTGCCACTGGTCGCAGTCCCGCAGGGACCGCGTGATCGGGACGGTGAAACTGCGCCCGCGGGCCAGAGACATGCCGCGCTCCAGCACGAACAGGGCGATCCAGCACCGTTCCCTCCGCCGCAACAGCCTCCGCCCCAGCTCCGACGCCGGATCAAGGTTGCTGAAGCCGTCGATGGCCATGGCCGTCCGCGGATCCACGCAGTCCCCACGGGCAACGGCTGCGGCCGAGCTCAGCTTGTCGGCCGGGACTAGGAGCTTATGGACGGAGAGGTCTATGGCGATGGTGGTCGCCATGGAGACATACCAGGGCGTCTCGTCGTCGGTGCTGTGCAGGCCGGGGAACATCCACGGAATGTTCACCATGAAAGCAAGCACTATTTCCACAGACTTATGCCGTCGAATCACCACCCTGTGGGCCAGACTCTTTGCGTGTGCCGATAGCCTCTTGGAAACGGCGGCATCCTGCGGCCGGAAGAGAGCCGAGGCTGCCATAATGGACGTGAAGAGGAAGGCGGAGCGTGAGCGGGTAAATTGCACCGTGTAGAGCTTTGGATCGAGACCCCATCGCGTATGGGCGAGGTGTTTGTGGAAGTAACCGAACAACTCCTCTGCCTCCGCTTCTGTGACCAAGCCTATGTCAATGGGATCAGTATCTTCGCCGACGTCCAGGTTCACCCGCACGCCGGTGAAAAAGGATTGGATCTCCGAGTTGTCGTCTCCGTGGTCCGAGGTCTGCTTTTTGCGGCTGGAGCGGGCTGACTGCACATGTCCAGGAGAATTGCCGCTGGCAGCCAGAGTCGGTGATAACTGCAGGTTGGAGGCCCGGGCAAGAAGCTGCAGAGGATTCTCGGCGTCATCCACAGTGAGACTGCCTTCGCGTCGATGGGTGATATAAGGAAGGTTGTCGGGGGAGCCGTCCGTCTCTTCCTCGTCTTCTTCGTCTGTTGAGGCAGGGTCATATGCAGCTCCGGTAGATGACGGCTGCCTTGACCTGCTATGTCTATTGGATGGACCAGCGGACTGAGAGTCTCTGGCATCTCCCAGTAGATGCTTCAGGTCAAGGATAACCCTGTTGTCCTCGGCACACTGATCTCCCGACTTGGCTCGTTTGATAGCCTGCTCGATCTGAAAGAGGGCCTTGTCCAGGCCTTTCCGTTTGCTGGTCTCCAAGTTAGCTGCCTTGAAAGCACTAAAGTAAGCTAAACCCGCGGCTCCGGGTACGGGACGGCCTCACTTTTTAATGCCTTTTTGTCTCCCCGCATGAAATATCGGCCGGATGCATTCTGACTCAAGCTGAATGCACCTCTTGCACTTATTCTTGTCGTCGGACCACTCGCATTTGATCTTGCTCTTGCGGCAGACGAGGCAGGCAGCCTGCTTGGGACGGTGGGTTTCTTCCATGAGTGAGAGGCCGGATGATATGAAAGATGATCAGGTGAGAAGACGAGGAGACGAGGAGACGAGGAGGTGAGACAGGCTGATGGAGAGTTTGATAAAGTGGCCTATGATGAGAAGGCTGACGCTGTAGTGGTGAGATGGTGACCGAGAATGGCAAAAGCGTGCTATTAGAGCCTCAAATCCTTGGATGAGTGGGGCATTGAACTCGGAGTCAAGACGACATGGCGCCTACAGTGTACACACCGAGAATCTGATGAGATGGCGGGCAGGAGGAGAGCTAGGGATGCATGATGAGTAGGAGGGGAGGTTGGAAGAAACGAAGCAGAAGCGCAAGCGGGAGCGGAAGCGGAAAGCAGGTGGTCATAGTGTCAAAGGTGGAGTATCTATGATATCGGTCAATCGTGTGCCCCGCTGTCGGCTCACCGTACAGTGCGGGGAAACCCCAATCTCGGTGAACAGCCGGTGACTCCATCGCAACCTCAGGCTCGACTTTGATTACCATACCTAACGTATTCATTGGGGACCGGCGTCCTTTGTAATTACGTGCCTCGCATCATCACACTTCTACCCACCATATTTATAGCGTTGCAACTTACTGGTTATGTGCTGTTACCTGGAAGAGTTCTCAGGTAAGGGAATGGATCAAGGCCCCTCGCCTCCCGCCAGCATTATTGAACACCGGGTTGTCGATAACTATGGACGGCGTTCCGGTCTAACTCCATCCGGAAGCAAAATCGGGTGCGGTCGGAAGGTGACGCGAAAGCCAACTTGAGCCCTCGAGAATCGTACACTCTGAACATGATAAAGGTGTAGCTCAGCCATCTGACGGAGGGCAAGGTGTGTATTTCATATAAGGTCGGGGGTAGGCGGGCGTGCAAGGAAACGAACGTTACGACTTCCACTTCTTGCCATGACTTGAAGCCAGACATGCTGAGATAGGTAGATTATGCTAATTGGTGGCGTTTGATTTACCCCGCCTCCATAATCGTGGATCGCGGATCGCACGCGTTTCCTATCTTGAAGGAAACATTGGCGACGCGTTCTTTGTCTATCTATTCGTACAGAGATGGCATTCTGTTCAGCAATGACGGTTTGTACTTCTGCACAAAGTAAAATGGCGTCCTACACGTGCAAGTCAGGCAAGCAATAAGAACCATTGGCCGTGGTATAACGGTAAGATCCGAAGCCAAGCCATACAATCACAAGTACTCGGTAATTACCTACAAACTGTCAGGTTGGAAAAAAAAAATCAAGATGCACTCGAAGGAAGATCAGACATGCACAAGTACGCGCCGCATGTATCGTCCGGCCCCGCAGTTCATATATACATTCAGCCTCTTTGCCGGCAGCATTGGCAGTTGGAAAAGAAAAAGAAGAAAAATTATAGAAGTGCATAGAACAGCTAACGCTGCCATCTCGATGGATCTTGCTGATCATAACCGGGGCGATGTAAGGGATAAAGATTTTCGACGTCAGTTCCAAGAATGGCCCCGGCAGCTGGTGCCGTCTCGTTGGGAAGCTGGACGAGCACGAGCAGAGACTGTGTATGGATGTAGGGGGTGGGGTGTGAGTTCGCTATCACGCATTTTGCGGATGCTTTGTTCTCCGAAGCGAAATGAGCGAGGGTGGGTCTAGGGGTGCATTTTACTCGACAGGGCATCAGCAGGGTTACAATTTTATAAGCCCTCGCAAGGTCCATCTGCTTTTGGTATCTTCTACTAAAGGTATAGAGCATGTTGTACCACGTACGAAGTAAGTGCTTCGTAGGAGTACACGCGAGGATAGTGCTCGCCATTTCTTCCATGCATGGAAGAAGAATGAAGGCCAAAGGGTTCCCAGACGGAGTTAAGGAACGCATCTGCTGGATAGGGGTATTTGTACGTTGTACGGGCACAACACCTACAACGTAAGGTATCCGTACGCCGTGCAACCAAGTTAGATGCCTACTCGGTAGTTACCTCGTACTTCGTATGACACCCGGCATAATGCCGTTGTACCGATCCATGCACCGTATATATCCTCCCGAAGCACGCGGACCAAACCAGGACCAGGCCTCAGCCCACCTCCCCTGGTCGTCGTCTTAATTTTATGATAGCCAGTAATATATGTACCGTCCGCATGTGGGGACTCGTGACGGTTATGGATGGGGACATCGCGCTAAACTTTCCGCCGTTTGTTTCCATTGATGCGGTCGTGGATTTTCCGTTTACAGGAGTTGTACCTAGATTACCGTTATATAATCGGAAGCTGACGCTCTTTATTCTCCTGCTGATTGATTCTGTTGCTACCGAGTAATCTTCTGCTGGCCGGCTTATTGTCCTGTTCCCGATATTGAGCTCTACCATAGGGAGCTAACGGATATTCGTGCTTCGAATCTCGGAATAAGATGCTCCAAGGTTAGGTCCAGTCGACGCTAAAGAGAAGACACTGTCCATCTTCATATCGGAAGCTCCTGGGTCTCTACCCGGTGAGAGGAAGGGCGTGCAGGGGTCTGGTCTGAGCCCGGTACCTTGGAACCTTCCGGCCAGCCCAGAGGCCCAGGATCGAGCGGTTTGGGTGGATCCGCTTGAATAGAGTACATAAGGTACTTCGCGCAGTACAAAGTCTTCCGTGGTGCGAGCTTTGTACCGTCACAGTGTTGTACCTAGGGCTTGACCAGGCTGTGCATAGGTACCTTAGGTAGTCATACACAATTAGTATGGAGTACGGAATACGACTACTGACCTATGCATGATAGGACTACCTTAGGTATCCTTGGTAGAATGCATACGTCGCAAGGTAAAACGCACTCGATGGAAGACTTACCTAGGTACCTTACACGAGTACTGGAAAGACTGGCGAGGTGAAACTGCTCACTTATTTTCCGGAAGACCAGAGGTCAAGTTCAATCTGGCTCTCGCTAGAACTGCATCCTGCTCTTTCTAAGGTACCTTAGACCTTAGGCCTTATGTTAGGCCCCGTTCGACAATTTCAACAACTTTTGAAATTTTATTAAAATGTCTAAAAAATGCATAAGTCGGACCCACCAAATACATAAGGACCCCCTTTTATATAATATTTTCAGCTTAACTGCATTTTTTATAGTCTCCTCTATTATACCCCTGTTATCGAAGTACGACGCTAGACAGGGATCCTCTTATTAATGTTTTTCTAAAAAACAGTCACTTTTTATATAGGAGTGGCTATTAAAGCTCTTAACCTTTAATAGCTTTTAGAAAATCGTTAATAAAAGATAGGATCCACTATTAGCCGCGCCGCCGTAAGCGAGGCTATTACTACCCACCACGATAACCGTACTACCACTAAACTCAATCTTATAGTCCTGATATTAATCTTATAACGGCCTAAAGTCACTCGACGCCTCTAAGGGCGTAAAAATACCTCTTGGTATTAGCATAAGAATAATCCGGCTATAACGTTAGGTATTATAAGAAGGTTATTTATCGGTTCTAATATAGTATTTCGGGACCTATTTAGATTAAGTCAGAATAAATTTTATCGCCTAATAGAATAGATTATATTAGATAGTATAGTTAGAGAGACCTATTACTATATAAAAACGTAAAAGGTTATATTCTTTCTTTATATTATCGGTCACGGTGTATCCCTCCATAATATATACTACCGCTTTAAGATATCCTTAAATACAGGATCTCGGATCTTCGATAAGCTCCTAGATATAATATATTAGCGCTATATTAAATATGTTAAAACCCCACTATAAAGATATATCTCGCGACATATTGAACTATCTTAACAGAATAATTAGTTTAACCGCTATATCGGAGTAATCGATAGTATATATATCGCGGCGTAGATCCCCCCTAAAGAATAAGGGCGGTTCTATAACCGTAAAGGGTAATTTATCTAAAATATCCTTGCCGTAGTCGATTCTAACCTCTTATTTACCTATATACTAGTAGGAGCTAAGGGTAGTATAAACGACTCTTCCTTACTTCGAGAGGCTTTTGCTAAAGAGTCTTTTCACATACCTAACAGGAGGTTCTACCTCATAGATAATAGGTTCGGTAGCGATATTGGAGGTATTATTACCCTATTCGACGGCGAGAGGTACCACTTTTAAGATTTCTCTAAAATTAAATAGAGGCGGTTACCCTTAAAGGAGCGGTTTAACCGCCTCCATGCCGGCCACTATAATACTATTAAACACGTTTTTAGTATATTAAAGAGGTCTTTTTATATCCTTAGTAGGAAGGCACCTAAGTATAGCTTCTAAAAGCAGGTAAAAATCGTATACGCGGTAATTAGGATCTAGAACTTCGTTAAAGCTATACGTAATTATTTAACCACCGCTAATAATATATTTAAAGAGGAGAAGCGGCTATTATAGCTAGCCGTAAAGCGTGCTAATCGTAATATCGGTAATAAGAGCCGATTAAAGATACGATACTAGATATCTAAGATAATAGAATGTTAGTAGTAGTTATATAGGGTTATTATTTTATTTAAAGTAAAAAGGATTAAGATGTTAATATTTTAAGTACTATATAGATTATAATAGCGGAAAGTGTAGATAAGATAGTGCTTTACCCCGAACTAGTCCTTTTCGGGTAGGTAGTAAATATATTTGGCTAATTAAATCCATAGAAAATAAGACTTAGTTAGAATCTAGATCTACCCTAGCCCTACGCCTACCCTTAATACTATTACCACTATCACTACTATTACTACTATTACTACTTCCACACGTAGTATTCCTTTCTTTTACAAACCTATACCTCTTTAAAAACACCCTTTTTCTATCGATTTTTACCGCGTTAAATAGCGTTACCTTATTAGGATTTTAAGTTAGGAACTCTGCTACCGAAACAACGCTATTAGCGCTACCTAATTCGTTATAGAACTCCCTCTCATAATCGGTAATAGCCTACGTAAAGATAGGCTTATTATAGTATACTACTAGTATAAATAACCTGGTTATTAGAGAATCTTCGGCTTTCTTTCTATAATACCGCCGTGGAACGTTATCTAAAAGATCGTTATAAGAGATTAATAAGCTTCTGCTATTACTCTCTATTACCGATAAGAACGCTACTAAGTAGCTATAAAAGGTTTCAGTTATCG